TGTAATTGGGATGTTTTATGTTCCATAATACAGGATATTGTTGTGGATATTGTTCATAAATGAGTAAAAACTTAATAATAACTACCATTACTACAGTTCCACTTTTTTTGATATTTTACATTTCAACAAGAACAACAGAAAGACTATTGGTGTTACCAGCTGAAAAAATTAAAGTTGTTATCAGAGATTTTCTTTTTCTTTGGTTGCTATATTTTGGTTTAAAATTCAAATTATATATAAAATTATTATAATTGTTAAAGTAAAACAGAGAAGCAAAAATGTGGATATATATAAAATTTATGAGATAGAAACATCAAAGACAGAAAAAGAATTCTTAATATTTTAATAACAGTAACATTCAAAAATATAAATATATTTATTAAAAAATTTTTTATAAGAATTTTCATTTTGTTTCAATAAATAGCTTTCAGTATTTGAAATATTAATTACATTAGATTTACATTAATTTAAATAAAATTTATATTCAACTGACTGAATACCTACCTCTTACAATAAGTTCTGCTGAACTTTCTTCTCTTCCATATTCATTAATAACTTCACAGGTATACATACCAGAATGTTCAATTGAAGTTTTCTCAATAAATAATTTTACAAGTGATCCAGTAAATGTTGTTTTATACTCCTTTGAGTCTTTGATTAATGTTTTATCTCTAGTAATTATATTCTTAATAAATTTTATGTGAACATTTTATTTAAGTAAAAATCAATTGTTTTCATTATCTAAAGTAATTATTTGGATTTTTACCTGTACCAATTTACTTTTGCTTCAGTTTTAGACTCAATTCTGCAGACAAATTGTGCTGATTTACCAGATTCCACAATCTAAAAAAATAATCCAATTAACCAATAAATTTTATAATTATAGAAATTCTATTAAGAAATTAATAAACTGAAATAATTTAATTTTAATATAATAATGTGAAATCAAATTACTTACTAAAGATCTTAATGACTGCACAAATGATGGCTTTTCAGCTTTTACTTCCCTAGAAATAAAATATAAATTACATTTATGTCACACATATATACATAATAAAAAACCAATAAATTATAATTATTTTTTCTAAATGTAAACTTTAAATAACAATATGTAATAATCCATAAATTATTATACACTGATTATTTGCAATAAGCTATGTCATTATAATTTAATATAGTTATAATATCAAATTTTAAAAAATATTAATTAGAGAACATATATTGAATAATGTAATGAATACATACTTGTTTCAGATATAATAAAAAGCAAAACACAGATAATTTTAAATTTTATCATCTTTTCATAACTTTTTCAAATTAGAGATAAGTAATTGTAAATACAATAAATTAAGAAAACTGAATCTATTTATTAACACTGTTATGTTCTTGACTTAGCTTGAGCTATCTTTAGTACATTAACATATAAATAAAATGCAAAGTTAAAAACTGAATATATACATAGCCTGTTTTTGTTTCAAGCTCCCATGGTCAGACATAGTTATTTTTTTGACATACCATGAAGATTGAGGCATTTGTCATATCTGTGGACGAGCTTTTCCATCCCTTTGTCATAAAATATTGCTGCCAATGACTTGAGATGGGCCCTAACATTGTTTTGAAGATCGTCATTAGTCTCGAACCTCTGCCCTCCTAGCCACTTTTTCTGTTCAGGAAAGAGGTGGAAGTTGCTTGGTGCTAAATTGGGGCTATATGCTCGGTGTTTAAAGGTGGTGAAAACTTCCACTCTTTCCTGAACTGAAAATGTGGCTAGGAGAGCAGATGTTTGAGACTAATGAGGATCTTCAAAACAATATTGTTAAAGCCATCTCAATTCACTAGCAGCAACATTCTATGGCAAAGGGATAGAAAAGCTGGTCCACAGATATGAAAAATGCCTCAATCTTCATGGTGATTATGTTGAAAAGTAACAATGTTTGTACCTAACTTTTGGTAAGAAATTCATTTTGTTATTTACACTTGTCTTTGTTTTAGGGACCATTGGAACTTGAAAAAACTGCCCTCATACATTGAAAATTATAGAACAATTATAGAATATTATATTATTTTAAAAAATTAGAATATATAAAGATGCTCTACTGTACCATATTTACTTGAATAATCTGTTCGCTTTTTCCAAAAACATGACAAAAGATCAAATTGTGCAGTTCATCTGAAACAAATTTGTGAATACAACCTGCAAAGTTCAGAGTGCTTTCAGTTAACAAACATTTTGCTTATTTTGCAAGTGACAAATTTCACTTATCAACTGGATGACTTTCATCCATACATACAGAAAAACCCCCAAATTTTTTGCATTCCTCAACATTTCAAGGTCCAAGTCCAAAAATGTAAAAATCTTGGTGAGTCATTTTTTTATTGATTGCCATACTTTCTTTCTGTTATATATAACAGAGCTGGAAAAGTAAAAATGGAATGTGCCAATTACTTGAAGATGTAGATTATTTGAGTAAATATGGTACTTCATCAGAAATTTAAAAATATTTTTAAAACTTTTCAAAACTAATGTGAAGCAATATCTGGTGTTAAACTTTTATCATAAAAAATTACTTTTTTAAATTATTTTCCATTACTTATTATTATTATTATATATATNATTAGTCTTTGGGGTAGTAATAAATAAGTTTTTAATAAATAATTAATGTACTTATTTCTATTTGAATTATCATTTTTCACTTTTGTGCAAATTCTGAGGTTCCATTGCTGCTTGTGAAGTGTCAGTGAAGTTGTAACATTTAGTAATGGTATTTATAAACATTGAAAACAATAGTAATAAACTTTTATGATTAATACTTCAAAATGCATCTAAAATGTAACAGTAAGTCTAGCAGTTGAAATAAATACAAAATGTATTGCTTTATCACTATGGAAACTAAATTGGACATTATAAAACTAAGTGCATTAAGTGAAAAAAATCTGCATTTGAAACACCTACTAGTAAAGTAGCAAGCAGATAATGAACATAATGTATTGTATTATGTACATTGAAGGATCAAACACTAACAATAAGTGGCTATTCTGTATAAAAATGTACTTTTTAAGTTAGTTTTTGACTTATAACAAAATCTCAGGAACCTAATCTGTTCATAAGTAGGTGAAAACCTGTATACAGGGTTTGTCCAATAAGTATCGGGATTGAAGTCATAAAAAGAAATTTATTAAAGATATATGCACAGTGAGCTAATAATCTTTAAAATATGACCCCCCCTGCATCAATACACTGCTGCCAATGCTTTTTCGAGTCTTCATAGCCTCCTGGAATTTGGCAACCGCAAGGCTGTTTAGGCACCCCGACGAAGCTGCTTGAGCCACCTCAATCATCCCAAAAAAACATCCTTTCAGCTTCTTTGATATGAGAGAACAAAAAGAAGTCATGGGAGCCACATTTGGACTGTAGGATGGTTGAGGCAGTATTGACATGTTGTGTTTGGCCAGTGCCTCCCTCACAATTAATGACGTGTGACTGGGCACATTGTCATGATGGAGCATCCAGGTATTGGTGATCTCCTTTCAGATGCAGCAGATCCTAATTCTCAAAAGTTCTCACAATTGGCCACATTTTCATCAGATTGGGTCACTGTCAGACTTCCAGCATGTTGTTCATCTTTGACATTTGCTGGTCATTGAATTTTTTATGCCACTCAAAAACCTCATGGATCATATCCAAAGTCTCAGTAATGGATTTGATCAGTTTAATGCAAAATTTGGTGGCAAAACTCTGCTCAATGGTTCACTGCATCTTGACTCTCAACACAAGTACTAAACACACTTTCACTTCAGGCATGATCTACACACTCCAAAGGCTCGATGACAACTGAGCCAAGTCTCATAGCTTATGTGACATCCCCACCACCGATCCTACCCATAGAAACCATCCTCCACCCTTTCCCATTGGCAGGAAAAAATCATTCCCAATACTTATTAGACAAATCTTGTATTATTACTATAATATACACAATTGCACCTGTAGGTATTTGGAATCAAAAAATTATCCAAATTTATTCATAATCATATTGTAAAGAGATGAAAATTAATGATTTTGAGTAGCCATATTCATATGTATAACTTATGTTGTAGCCATTTTTTTGTTATGATTTAGAAGTTGTTGCTGTGCATGTGTATATATATCAGTATATCCTTCATTAAATCCTCAATAAAACATTTTATGTATCACTAATCTATATAAAAGAAATACATGCTGCAACATTAGCAAGGTTATTTATTGTAATCTTAGCTAAATGTAGCTGTATTCCATTTGATTAATAAATGTTGGAAAATACTAAACTAGAGCAAGAGTGAATATCGCAAACTATGTATGAACTGGTAACACCCCATGTAAGACAGCTTGAGGCAGAAAGAAACTGTTGTTCAGTCACGCACCAAGTTATCGATGAGTGAAGAAGTGTGAGGAGTCGAACAAGGGTTGACTGTGGGATCCGAATGAAGGATATCAATCGGAAATTTAAAGTGCTCCTTTTCAGACGCGAATGGAAAAGATTAGATGTCTCAATCGAACAATGGAAATTTTTGTGTAAATTAGTTAAACAATGGAAAGGAATAAAGTCGAGAAAAAGCAACAAAAGAAGAATTATATTCAGTCGCGATGCTGGCCTCTCCCACACCCTCCATCGGGTTTCAGATTGTCACCAGGTGACAGTGAGAGACCAATGGAGAGGAGACTAGGGGGAAAAACTCTATAAAAATAGCGTTTCACGTACATTTTGGGTTCTTGGATGCGTAGTGTTTCTTCTCCTGGACGTGCATGCTCCAGATCTTTGGAAAACAAAAAAACATTTCGGAACTTGTGGAAACATCATTCTCTGGGTGCCTCCTAGCGATCTACAGATTCTTCAGTTCGTCTAACGAGAAGCCACCGAAAGCTGTGATAAACGCCCTGGGGCCTACAGAGTATTTTCACCATCAGTGTCCATCCACAAGTAACAAAGACAAGTTTTCGAACTTTATTCGGACTTTTTCCGCGCGTTTTGTGGACCTTGTCAATCAAGGAATTTGTAAGGAAATTTCTATGTTTATTAAACGGGTTTTTAATGGTAACCCTGTCTCAGTGAGTCATTCTGTGCCCTCATGACGATAATGACCGATCGACTGTCATGACACCTTACACCTGATCGGCTAACCTCACAAAAGTGTATATATATAGTCTTAAATTAGAATAAAGTTTAATTATGAGATAAAGAACTGTCTCATCATTGTTCTAACAATAAATTTCATCAGTTATGCAGCATTTGGCATATTGTATAGAAATACATAAATCTTGAATAATTCAAAACTTGATAATTCAAAGTCATAATTATTTTGTCCCTTGAATTTCAAACTAACTAGGATTTCCTGTATTAAGTCAACATTAAAAATATAACTAAAATACTTTAAAATTATCAATATAATTTTAAAAAAACATACTCTTCAGATTCTCTTCTCTTGTCAGACTCCCTTCGTTTTGCAGGTTCTTTAATAGCTGGACTCTCTGATTTTTTTCTCCTTATCTTTTCTTCTTCAGTTACTTCTGCCTCAGCAGCTTTTTTCTCAGCAGCTTTTTTCTTTAATTTGGCTCTTTCTTCAGCTAGACTTAGTTCTTTTTTTTCTTCCACAGGCTTAAAAATGCCAAATAAATATTCATAAATTTTATAATTAACATGTAAATAAATTTTTATGGTTATTTATAATATCACTATTATAATCCTCTCTTTAAATATTAGAAAGGTAATTTCTAATGATTACAAAGTAATTGTATTGCTTTTCAATAGAATAGCTGTTACTTGAATATTAACTGCTTCTTCATTCAGTATATAAAGACTGAATTAATTTCTACATACAATGGATTCTGCTAGTTAAACATTGATTTTGGAATTGTAGAAAAATTATTGCACTTTTAATTTAAACAAGACAATTAATTGTTGTATTCTGATTACTTGTCTTATTAGTAAATGTCAAATATATTTTACCTTTTCTGCTTTCTTCTTTGGTTCTTTTTTCTTTGGCTCTTTAACTTCATCTTCTAAATAAAAGAATTACATGTAAAAATTTTATTATAAAACTATATAAAACAAATGTATTAATTATACAGAAATTCAAGTTTATATATCTTTAGTTTTCACTAATAAATTATTTTATTCTATAAAACCAAATTACCATATTTACTTGAATAATCTTGAATAATTTCCAAAAACATGACAAAAGATCAAATTGTGCAGTTCATCTGAAACAAATTTGTGAATNGTAGATCAAACTTCTTTGCCAATTCACAAATTTTCATTTTTGTATCAAAGTCTTTAATAATGTTAACTTTACATTCCAAAGATAAAGTTTTTCTTTTCTTGTTTGATGCAGAAGAATCAGTTCTACTTCATTTAGATGACATAGTAGAATCTCTCAAGTCTCCGTAGATATAACAAACACAGAAATAAATAACACAAAATAAATTGTAGCTATATGTCGATTCCGCGCGACACGTCCGAACATGTAAGCTGAACAATAGTGTGGGGGGAGTGAGTAATCAAGAGTTGCGTGGCGCTCAAACAAAAGATGAATCGAAGAGATTTGAAAATCACGTAACTACGGGTTCGTGTAAGTCGAGGTATTACTGTACTTATTCAAAATTAGATCAGGAATAAATTTTATACTTAATATATAAAATATAAGCAAAACTAAAATAATTTTTAATGTGACAATAAAAGAAAAATTTTATTCTAAAAATAAAAAAAATAATTCTTATCCATTCTCTAAATTTTAGTTCTAATTATAATAACAGATTTCTCAAAATATTGGTGGTAAAATAATTTCATTGACATGGCATTAATTTATATTTTAATTTTTGAAATTAATATTTCCAAGCAATATTCCAATGAATATAACATCTCATGGATAAAATATTTTTAATTATATATTATCAAAATGTAATTCAATACTAATTTTTTACAGTTATAAATAAAAAATGAAATTAAATTTTTACTTCAAAATCTTTCAAATTATATACAAGAAATCATCATTAGTTCAAACTTGGATTGTTTGAAATCCTATTAATTCATAACCATACTTTTGTCCCAACCAGGGATATAGAGATTTATATATTAAGGAATTCGGTTAGATTGAAATATGGCTACTTAAAAATTTAAAGTAAAAATTCTGTCTGAATGGTAATATGCATATATTAACTCATTCATTTAGATTGAGGAGCTTCCATGCTATAAGAAAACAAAAGACAAAAAACAACTCTAATCTGGTCAACATGACTTTGCTTTTGCAGTAACACATTTTCAAGCATCACCTTACCCATGAACTGCCATTTTTCTGTTATCTAATGAAATATGGCTGATTTTCAAAATCAGTCATATTTCATGAGACTCTAGGCTATTACTTTTTGGGCCACTTTAAAAATGCAAGAAGCTGGGGGTTGGAGAGTAAAGCTCTAAACCCTTTTGATCGCGTCAGGTTGGTAAAACCCACTCACATTGTCACTGGATGGCTAGGAGGGCTATAAGTCAAGTGGGGAGGCACAATGAGTCTGCCAATAGGGTGATCATTCTCCAAATAGAGTCAATGCCAGTTTAACTAGACAATAACTTTAATACAAAAATAAAGCAATTTATAATAACTAGCTACAATTACAATTATGTGTATAGCATATAGCACATACATCTCTATACGATCCAATATCTATGGGATATATATTGCCTCTAACTTAAGATCTAAGTCGACCAAGAGAGAGTTTACATAAATTGGTTAACTATTATACCTCATTATGGTAGTGGATTGTTTCTGAGGAGACCTCTTTGTGGAGGACTGGGGAGACTTTTGGGATACCACTTGCACAAATCACAAAAAATAAAGGTAATTCTTTGGGACTATTCACAGACAAGGCACCAAACCAAAAAGATAGCTTTTATGGGACGACTCTATGTGATCATCTTCTGAATATGTCTGCCCAACAAAGGGTGCCTGGCTGTTATATCCCTCTCTGTGTGGGAATTTGATCTCATGACCTTATGTTTTGTAGTGATGACACCGTTCAGTGTGTCATTGATGGGCTAGCTAGGGCGGTGGGAATCTGACTTGTTGTCAGATGTGCATTGTGAAATTGTTTAACTTTCAAAATTTTCCCATCTCAATAAGAGGGAAAAAGGACTTGTCGTGTCAAAGACCCTCCTTTTAACATGAGTTTCTTAGTCGATTGTTTACTGTTAAACTAACACCTGCTCTGTTTTCTACTGTTTTCTACTTCTGAGGGAAATGGATAAGAATAAAAAGAAGTTTCAAATAATGCGAATTTTCATTACTAATCTCCCAGATTCTTACAAAAATAATTTGGTCTACATTTTGATGAATTTTGCTTTACTTTTTATAAAACCTATCTGGCAACCTGTGAGGTTCTCATTGGACACATGTTGTTTGTCTACAGTTTATTTATATTATTACTATTATTAATTAATAAAAATAGCATTCTCTAAATGTAGCTGTATTCCATTTGCTTAATAAATTTCATCAGTTATGTAGCATTTGGCATATTGTATAGAAATACATAAATCTTGAATAATTCAAAACTTGATAATTCAAAGTCATAATTATTTTGTCCCTTGAATTTCAAACTAACTAGGATTTCCTGTATTAAGTCAACATTAAAAATATAACTAAAATACTTTAAAATTATCAATATAATTTTAAAAAAACATACTCTTCAGATTCTCTTCTCTTGTCAGACTCCCTTCGTTTTGCAGGTTCTTTAATAGCTGGACTCTCTGATTTTTTTCTCCTTATCTTTTCTTCTTCAGTTACTTCTGCCTCAGCAGCTTTTTTCTCAGCAGCTTTTTTCTTTAATTTGGCTCTTTCTTCAGCTAGACTTAGTTCTTTTTTTTCTTCCACAGGCTTAAAAATGCCAAATAAATATTCATAAATTTTATAATTAACATGTAAATAAATTTTTATGGTTATTTATAATATCACTATTATAATCCTCTCTTTAAATATTAGAAAGGTAATTTCTAATGATTACAAAGTAATTGTATTGCTTTTCAATAGAATAGCTGTTACTTGAATATTAACTGCTTCTTCATTCAGTATATAAAGACTGAATTAATTTCTACATACAATGGATTCTGCTAGTTAAACATTGATTTTGGAATTGTAGAAAAATTATTGCACTTTTAAGTTAAACAAGACAATTAATTGTTGTATTCTGATTACTTGTCTTATTAGTAAATGTCAAATATATTTTACCTTTTCTGCTTTCTTTTTTTCAGGTTCCTTCTTTTCTGGTTCTTTGGGTTTTTCTGCTTCTTTTTTCTTCTCAGGCTCTTTCTTTTTTTCAGGTTCTTTTTCCTCTAATGTACATTAAAAAAATGCACAAATATTTAGTACTGAATAAATTATATTTCTTTCAATATAAAATAGCTTTATTTTAGTTCTTTTTATACATTTTTCAAATTTTACTTTAAGATCTCTAATATAAAAAATTTTATATATTCTTAGAATATTAAATCTATTATATCAAACAACTCAAGATTTACAATTTATAATTTCTGACATTACTTATAAAACTGATTTTTTGTCAAAGGAAACAGCTATAATCTGTTATCTGTTACAACTAAGTACAAACAAATTTTTTCTGAAACTTGTCTAAATCTGATTTTTTGGATAATATAACATCACTAAAATTGTTTTATAAAAAGTTAAAAATTTGACAAAGACAAAAATATTTACAGTGAAATATAATAAAAATTTAATTTGTATTTACTATAGATTACATTTTTCATATCTACTTTCTACTAAGCCTTGCAAATTTAAAAATTTATTTTAACTTGGGTAAACTGGTTATTTAAACATGTATTTTAGAAAAACATGGGTTTAGCACGTGGCTGTTCACACAAAGAGTCTTCATATAGCCCTCTTGAAAGACACTTTCTCCCTCGAATGCCAGGAACCAGAATGCCGTGTTGCCAGTCCCGCACACCATATATCACCCCACCGCCAATACAGTGCTGCCATAAAAAACCACCCAAAACACTGCACAAAAAAAAATTTCCCCTTTTTTTCTTGCAATTACAATAATAACATTGACAGTAGACAAAATATATATATACATATATACATATATGTATATATATGTATATATATATATACACTAAAAAATAAAACAGAGGCAAAAGAAAACAATTTTTTTACATAACAACAACAGAGACCGACGATATATACAAGGATGACACAGAACTTTGATCCAGAAGATGTTTGAAAAATCTGTTACTAAATTTATAACACATATATAACATTTTATCAACACACTTTTCCAGAAGTTTCTCTACCTTTCCAGAGGTTGATAAAATGTAGTTAAAGTGAATAAAGTATAATAAAATTAATTTTATTGTTACTTTCACTTTTTAGGAAATGTTGAAGTGTTAAAAATTCCAATTTATGGAAAAATTAAAGACACTTACAAGATTGTATTTTACAAAAAAGAAAATTGTTTAATGGAAAAAATTTATACATTATTGTTTTAAATGTATTACTCCAACTGAAGAGGAAAGAAAAAAACTCAAAATGTATATATTGAAGTTAGAATTTATTAAAAAATAAAAAGCACAAACTCCAAAGTCAAATTTTCTAAAAAACATGGTGTGATAAATCCTAAACTAACAACAAAATATGTAGCTATATAAAGTAAAAAGAAAAAATTATGTTAAGATTTTTCTTTATAAAATGCAAAAATATAAATTAACAAGAATGCTCAGGTAATGAGGACCAAGAAAGTACTAGTAAATGTTTATGATATGGATACAACGAGACAACAGTTCCTATTTCAGATTACATACAACGACAACAGTTCCTATTTCAGATTACATAAGGATACAACGAGATTTCAGTTCCTATTACACTCTTGTTGTTTGACTGTCTTCATCAATTTATTCAAACTCAAAAATCTCAAAAAACACATCTACTTATATTGATAAATTAGTCAAATACAGCAAGTCTTCATTTAATGTTATTTCACTATAAATGTTGTTGAGGAAACAAACAAATACATTTATATTAACCATTTACAATTATTGTGGTTGAATTTTCTTTATAAACAGTAAAATTGATTCTATGAAGTGGGAATTGAATGCTAGAGGTTCAAACATGATCCAATAAAATTATTATTAATCAAATTATTTTCTTAAAATTTGATTAATATAATTTACATTCATTATATCATACTTTTACCTTTTTTCAAATAATGTAAAACTATATCCACATTAACAACACATAAGACATCATTTAATGTTGATATAAACAAATGTGTCCTGCTTACATTCACCATTTTAAATTTATGTAGTGCCATTTATAGTTAGTTTGGTGGAATTGCCAATTGTTTGTTTTTCAACAGCATAGTGGTAAGAGATAATCTTTACCAAATTTCCTTTTTCTTTGTTACTCATCATTATCATTTCCGGTAATGAGGATTTGGCCTCCCTTCTCATACCAACCACCAACTGTCACTAATTTCAAAAAATGTGTAAATAATTATCTTGTTTTCATTAATTTTTTTTCATATGATATGTACAGCACAGTACAGTACAATTCATATTTATTTCAATCTTTCAGGTTAGAGAAGTTTTGGGTTTTTACTTAAAAGTTTGGTGATGTTTTTGTGACCAGAAATATGCTGTAGGAACTTAACTCTTGTTTATATCATTTAGACCATTAGACCATGGGTCAGCAACCTATGGCACGTGTGCCAAACATAGCATGTGGGATGATTTTCAGTGGCACTCTTATTGAATAGAAATATAGTAAAAATTATATTTTAATTATTAATTACACATTTAAATGGAAGTCATAGTTCAGCAAAGGCTGTGGTACATTAAAAACGAATCTTCTGTTTATATATTTCTATTACAGTGCATTTACACTCCATGTTGCCATCTACATGTTATGCAAGCACTTCACATGTAAGAACATAATTCAATTAACAACTTAACTTCAAAATTATACATCCAGTTATAACCAGACTAATTTTGATAACATATATAATAAACATGATAGAATCATGTAAGCACTCAGAATAGCATGATAACTTACGTTCAGCACAACACTGCTGAAAGGTTGCCGACCCAGATTTAGACTATGATAAAATTAGTTTTATTATACATAATTTTGCTTAATGTCACAGTTTTCACAATCTATTGATGGCATTAAGTGAGAACTTGCTATACATAGACAAAAATCCTTCTTAAGGAAATAAATTAATTCTTCATAACAGATATTTTTAAATGACATTTTTTTAATACTCAAGAATTTTATTATACTTATCTAACAATTCCTTAGACATTTCTCCATAATTCTTTAACCTTATTTGTTTTTTTTGTTGTCACTTTTGTAAACTTGAATAGTGTACACTCCCACCCTTTCAATACCTTTCTATAGACATGTTCACTGACTTTTTGTGCCGCTTTTGTAACCATCATGTTTTTTGTTGTTGAGTAAATAGCCTGGTATTTTCAACCCTGTGTGACCTATTATGTATGCTTGTTTCAAGTAACTTTAAATTTTTTATTGTTATGTTAAAATATTATTTATATATTTTCAGTTTTTAGTGATTGTTGTCTTAAGCTAAATGGGTAGAAAAGAAGAAAGAATTTTGAGATTATTAGAAATTGTGAAAAAAGAGAAGAGAAGAAAAAGAAAGAAAAGAAAATCCAGATGCAATTCAAAGACATTTGTTTGCTGACAAACCTGCTATTGAAGCAGTTAATGAGTTGTTTTCCGATGATGAGGTTGGAAATAATGTAGATAGACAGGAATAGAATACAGTGTCAGAGCAGTCTGGAGATGATAAAGCAGTAGTTCAAATAAAGCCTGAATGTACAGGAATGGATGGAAACATTAAATGAGGAATTCACTGTCCTCCACTTAATAGATGATGAACAGCTAATCAGTTTAGTTACATGCTTTCTAGGTGTGAAGGCACAGAAAGATGTGAATTCACCTATGGCTGCCTAGGGCTATTTTTTACAAATGAAATTTTAGATGATGTCGTGAAGTATACAAATCAATGTATAGAAAAAATACATTCAAACTATACCCAGGAACGTGATGCGTGTGATACATTAAGGAGTGAAATGAAGGCTTTTATTAGTCTTCTCTCCATGGTGAAAACTCTTAGAACTTTGCATCTGAACTTGTATGATTTGTGGTCAAATGATGGAACTCTTTCACAACTGCATGAATATATGAAGATTGAAGTTTTTTGTCCTTTTTTCCTTTTTAACCATTAAATTTAAAACTTTACAATATTTCACACATTATGTTAAATAAAATTTAATGTTGATGTTTAATATGTTTTCTTTTAAATCACTTTCATATTAAAAAAATCTCAGATAATTCTCTTTGTTATGAAAATATAAAATAATCAGAAACAATGATTCTTATACTTTTTATGTCCTTTTTAAGAAACCTGGTCGAAACGACTGTGAGCAACCCATGAATTGTTTTTTGCGCACCCCCTTGCAGATTAAATAAAAAAACTGATCTTAAAACAAACTGCAGTTTGACAATAATAAGTTTGGTAAAATATTACCATATCTATACTGTAAAATTTTCTTTCAGACCAAAATTACATAATATTCATTAAGGTCAACTATCAGTTAACTCAATCCTTATAGACAGTCCCACAGGAGTTGATACTAATTATTTTTTGGGGGCTCCAATCTTCACAACAGTTAACACCAATTTTTTTCCACTTCACTCAAGACTCAAGACTGGTATAATTGCTAATCATTGAAAAGTGTTTAAACATATTTGACTAAAATGAATAATCTTAAGTTAATCCTACTACTATTGCTAATTTCTGGAATCAAATTGAATCCAGGTCTGTTGCAGAAAACACCAACAAAGAGAGATAGACCAACTGTAAATCATCTAAAACAATTAATTAATAATGCAAAACCATCGGATTTCATACATTTACTAAACAATACTGATATACAGGGTGTAACAGAAACCTGGCTGACATCTCCAATTGATGATTTAATTAAAAATATAGAAGAATACAATATTATATCAACAACAGCTCAAAAACTATATGGCCCAGGATGTCCCTATGTAAGACTAAGTTTAATATTAAAGAAAAATATTGGAGAAGTAAAATTTATTCAAAAAGCTACTAATTATATAACAATATTAGTACAAATTACTAATCTAGACCTGAAGTTTCTAGACAAAAATTTAGTAATAATCATGTTGGTTTACATACCACTCAAACATATAGAGATACTAATAAAATCTTCACAAATTTTGAAAAATGGAAAAATATTTCCCCATATATACTAATGATAGGAGATCTAAA